TGGTTTACAGCGTTCGCCGGCTTTCACTGCAATTACACGACAAGTGATTGAAACACATTGACGGACACCAACCCTATGTGTACTACCAGTACATCGCATACAGCCATACAGTCAGACGTGGTGTGCATTGCTGTGCAACCCATGCGAGCGCATTGGCTATCATACAGGCGTACAGTATACCAGTGCCTACCAGTGCAGTGCCAACACTACACACGAGCACCACTGCCTACCTATTGGCGCCCCATTCAAGCCAATCAACTATTCATGCATTTGTATCATATCATAAGCATTGCATTCATTTATTCATTCAATTCAATACAATCGATATAACATTAAAAATACAATAATTAAAACACATTTGGCATATAATTAGACACAAATGATGATCACTTATTTGGGAAGTGCTCGGAGCAGACATTTAGGCATCAGTGTGAATAGGACTGTGCGGGTGATGGGCACTAAGAGGCCGTTGAAGGGCATGCGAGACAACACGTGGTTCTCGACCACTTTGAACACGCGGTCAAACGACTGCTTCTCCACCACATGGCTGTCCTCAACCTCTCTCGTCAACGCATCCCTCAATTGAACCAATTTATTGATCTCTTCCTCCATTTGTCGCGTCTTCTCCTCCAACTCGTCGTTCACTCTCTTCTTGAGGTCCACTGTCTTCTGAATATCAGCTAATTTTATGTCAAAAACCGAATCAAACGTCTCTTCGTTGGCATTACAGTCGTGTGACTCCAAGAACTTACCCATCGATTGGTTCAGATCGTCGACTGATATATTCAAGTGCTTTGAGTCATGAATGTCTTCATTCCTATAGATTTGCAGCAATTCTTTCAGTTCTTTGTTCTCATCTAAAGAGCTCTCAAACTGTTTGCGATAAAAGTCTTGCTTTTCTTTATAGTCATTGATTTCGACGATTATCTCGTTTTGACTGTTAATGGTATGCAAGCATTCATTCAAACTCTTCTCCAAATCGCTGATTTGATCCGTTTGTTGCGAACACTTCTTGTGGAGGCTTTCGATTTCAGTCGAGTCGGTCAACAACTTCTTCGACAGCTGTTCCACGC